TAAATTATCCAACTAAATAATATACTAGGATAACATTGGAGACTCCAGACATGACATAAATATATACGTAGTTATATGTCATGTCTGTAGTCAGTGTTATCCTTGAGTATTGTAGCATGTGTCAGTGATGCATCGCATGGTAACCACTAACTTGATCCTCGTGCGGTTTGCTTTAATAGCTAGCATGATTATTTGTTCCCTCGTTATATTTTTTATTTAATTAATAATTAGAACATCAACGGCTGAGGGGTTAAGCACTTGATTTGTAATCTTCAAGTCCTGGGTTCGAACCCCATATACCAATGTGTTTTCGATCTACATCTGGACATTTAACCTACGTTCTAATGGTAAAGGAAAACATTGTGATGCAACCTACACATGATGAAGAAATTCAATGATATGTGTAAAGTCAACCAACCCGCATTGGGCCAGCGTGGTTGACTGTAGCCTAGACACCCTTGAATTAGGTTATGCTCCGAGGCTCTCAGTGGGCACGAATAGTGAGCTAATGATGATATTAATTAATATAAGGTGATGGTACAAAGTTTCTATTCTCGATATTGGGATTTTATATTTAAATGATAGTATTGTTTTCGTATGATAATCTAAAAGTAATAGTACAGTATGATGTTATAATCCAAATTGTTTATTGAGTGTAATTTAAACTTCACTACATCCTGTAAATGTAACATTTTTATTTGCTTTTATAAACATACCACGGTGCGTACCAAATAATGCTTACGTTAACAACTTAATTTTATCATACATTGTAGTGTCAAATTTAAAAACATTTCAATAAATCTTCAGAGAAACGAACCCGGGACTTTGCAATAATATTTATATTAAATTGATTTATATAATGTTGCGGTGATGTTATAATTTACTTTGTAACACATTAATGGACGGCCGTGTATCTCGGAGGCGGTTCGGGACCGTCTTGGCTTAATATTTCAATGAGTACGACCACTTGGACCTCGGCCAGTCGGACTCCAATGGTCTGGGCATCATTCATAGTTCGCAGCACGTGCGCCATCTAGACGTCTCCCCGCAAAATTGATTTCTAGCCACGCAACACAATGTTCTATATAACTAATGCCTCGTAGAGCCTAGATTCTTGTTAAGATCTAGCATACTGTGTGTAATTGGATAGACATGGCTTCCACCGTGACAGCTTTTATTTAATGAACAACAAGGGTAAGAAACCTGTATGTATGTATGTATGTCTTTTCAATGACGGGTTTAGTAAACCGTAGACTATATAATTCTTAAATAAAGTAGATGGGAAGTGTTTGACTATAGATATAGGTATATTGCGTTATATTAGGGGTTCAAACTAACCTTTAAAACGTGTATTATCTACCACAAAATACCACATACTTAAGGAACAGATCAAACAAAAAGAACCTACAAGTATTCCATCTTCTAATAGGATTTAATAACTAAAGTAGACCCCTTGTGTACAAATGCAGAGCGCCTTGATGTGTCAGAACTAACAGACGAACAACTACCAAATCCTTGTGTAAAATGTTAAAATTCAAAACGCGCTGCAACAAAAAAGAAAAGTGAATCGAGTGCCGTCGCTCGCACCGGCACAGTAAGGCGCTGCCGCGGCGCTACAAAGGTGATGAGCCAGTTATTTCAGTGACTCTGTTTATTTACAAAATATCACTCCGTTTGAAGGCGGACCATCAAAATGCCTCGTAAAGCTAAGGTAATACCATAAAAAGTCGTGTTGACGACCTCCGTAATTGAAAGCAGCTCTTTGTGACTAGCAGAGACAATGGTTTAAAACCCAGCGCGATGCCTCTATTGATTTCAAGCTACGGCCTACGTCTCACTCTTTAACCGACAACCGCGAATTTATCTTTCAATTGTTTAAAAAATACATAACCCTAATAGAAAAATGGTTTACAATCACGCCTATTTAATTGTAACAGCAAACCAATTGTCATTAGCGATACAAATAGAAAAAGTATTTCGCGCGAATTACTATCGCGTTACATTTACTAAGAAGTTGGTTTTTTGCAAAGTACAAATTCGGAACTGTGTAAGCCTCATAGCACGTGATTCCAAAAATAGCGTTATCCATCTTCGTTGTAATACTAGTAATTTAAACGACAATATTGAATTGTTAACTTTAGGTAGACTACCGTCTCTACCATTAAGACATTTCATTAGTTTGTAACTTTGCCTGCGACAAATGAACAAATCTTTTGTCTTTATAAAATATTAAATTTATTAATCATAATTTTAGTTACCATCCGAAACGGCTTGACCGTTTTTTATTAAATTACTAGTACTGCTACTATTTTTCAATCCCGCGCGGAAGGAGACGCGGGCGATAGCTAATATATATAAAGGATGAAATTGGAAGATAATTGTAATGAAGATGAAGAATCAATGGTATAGACAAAGAGTTGTCGAGTGGGTCGGAGTCAGACGCGGGTTGGGCTCGTTCGTAACCTGAGCCTCGTTTATCTGCCGTCGAGCAATTATTGAAGCGTGAAAAGGACCGTCCACCTATTATTGTATACGTTTTGTAATGCGGGCGATGCGTTCTTAAAAAAATATCGCATTTCCTAGCACCATTTTAATAGCCCATATAATACGACTTCACACAAATAGAATTATTCAATAAGTTGTATATATATTTTTTGAATGTAATTACGTTTATAAGTATGGTACAAGTTAGAAACTTTTCAAATTCTAGTCTTATTAAAATTATAAATGTAAAAGATTGGATAGATGGATGGATTGTAAGGAAATATCCCCAGAATGGCTGCATAGATCACGCCAAAATTTAACCGCCGATTACAATAGTAGCTCTACTTCTCTCTTCTATTATATAAATGGAAGAATCATAAATTTTTTTACATATATTTAAAAAAAAACTCATAATAATGTACTGAATCCACGAGCACTTAGTGACCAACAAAAACATGTTAATTTGTAGATATAATTCAATCTTTTACTCTATCTCTGTATGTCTGAATCATTCGAATCGTAATACTGGAAACATGTCAATACATATTAATATAACTATCCGTGTTCGGTGAACGATAGTTTTTTTTTGTTAAATCCAAAATCTTTTGTAACATTATCTTTTAATGTATCGCTATACACGACTTTTAAACTTCGCCAACAATAAACACAATGTTGCTTAAAATTAAGATAATAGTAGCTATCGCCCGCGACTCTGTCCGCACGGAATTAAAAAATACTTAATTAGTATCCTATATATTCTTCCAGACGATGTTTTACATATATGCCAAATTTCATCGAGATCCATTTAGCCGATTTGAAGATACCTTCAAACAAACATTCATACATCTAAAAATTCGCATTTATAATATTAATAAGAAGTAAGATAAATGATAAATACCTTTATCTTTTTGAAAACTGGCTACAGTTACGTCTATACCTACTACCTACCTTACTAAAATATGTTTAGATATGTATATATATACTGAAAACTATCTATGAGTTCTATACTAATATTATAAGGAGGAATGATTTGTTTGTTTGTTTGTTTGCATTGGATAGGCTCCGAAACTACTGAACCGATTTGAAAAATTCTTTCACTGTTGATAAGCTACACTATTTTCGAATGATATAAGCCATATTATTTTTAATATAGTTTTGTTTTATTTATTTAATTATAGAAAAAATAAAGACGTAGGTATTTTATCAAAATACGTAGGTAACAAAGTAACAGAGTAATAGGTATCTTATTAGATAAACAATTCTAAATTGAATCTATTTAATAAAATAAAAAAAAACTTTATATTAAACTTAGTTGCAAAATACAACGAAGTTGTTTGAATAATTAATTATTACCTACTTTATCATTGATTAATGTTATTGTCATCTACAATAAAAAATGACAGCTAACTACTTAATACGATCATCATAAACAAAGCAATTTAATGATACGTTAGAAACTTTAAGAATAATAACTTTATATAAAGTTAATAAGTAATGACTATTATTTAAAATTTTAATAAATCATAAAACAAGATGGCCGATGTAACTGAAACGAGGCAACCGCACGGGAAAATATGATATCACCAGTTAAACGAACATGATTTCATAAAATCAAACACAAATATGACTCACGGGGCCAAAACGCTCTTGCCCAAAATGTCGTGGATGACAAAAAAGATAAATTAAATATTTTCAAACACAAAGCAACAATACGAGGGAAAAAAAAGTTTACGTGTCCCGTGCGCGCCATTGCGCGGTGATTACATTTTTAAAATCGCATCGGGCAAAGATACGACAGACATAGGCCTACTCGGATACTCGCACCGTACGCTAATGTAACCAAACAAACGATTCTTTTTTAATCTAACTTCAGCGTTTGTAAAAATTACTATTTAAATATTTAAACCTCGGCCGCTAATTAACAGAGATTTAACCCTTCCGTCGCCGCGGTCTGTCTGAATATTTAACCCGCTCGAAATATTTGGCGCGTATTAAAATGTGAAAAATTAATGTCGCGCCCTCCACGGCCGGCCGGGCTGCGCCGCGGTAACACTTCTGCCCGAAATGGCCCTTTCGCGAAATACACTCTGGCCCTTATTAAAAACAAACTTTGATTTAATCGCAAAAGTTTATAACTTTCTAACTCTAATTATTTCGAACAAACCAAATTATACACAAAGGATTGAGTTAAGTGTACAAACAACGTAACATTACAAATCACGACAGCCTTTGATAGATGTTTGTTGAAATCACTTAGATAATCAAATTTTTCAATTACTTTCAAGGTCTTACAAAATTTCCGAGGAAAGTATTAATAACTGAAAACCTTCCGTGGTTACTTTAATGAGAAAACAATCAGAATGTCTACAATCGAAATTAAGAAGAGGCAAATTAAAAGATATACATAACTGTCAAACTGAAACGAACGGGATTACAAACATAAGGGTATGATAAATGAGATCATATTTAAATAATCGGCACACATGGTGTAAGGTGCGAATTGTGAGGAAACGTACCTTGCGGTGGTGCAGTCGCGGTAGAGCACGTCGAAGTCCTTGCAGGAAAGCAGCTTGCAGCGGTTGACGCCGGGCTGTATAGCGCCGAGGCCGCGCAGGATGCGCACCTGCTCCACATTGCACACCAGCGGCACGATGTCCAGCCGCTTCAGCTTGGTGTACACTGTGTGCAGCCCGCCCACCAGGTGCTTCAGGAACAGTTCGAAAGCCTGCGGCAGGCACAGCATCGTGTCCCCCTGGATTATGAACGCCGCCACCTTCTGCCCGCGATACTCCACCAGCTTGCACTCGTTGGCCGAGGGATCCGAGGTGGAGATAGGCGGCGGGCTGCCGTACCGCGGCGGGCCGTGGTGATGCGCCGCTGCCATCAGCTCGAGGGGCGAGTGGTGCATCATCTGCAGAGAACCCAGCAGGCCCAGCCCGGGCGGTGGCAGTGGGAGCCGTGGCGCCAGCAGCGCCGGCGGGCTCATGGCACGCGCAGGCGATGCTGCTTTCACGCGCGGTGATCCACCCGATGAGCCGCTCACTTCGCTCGCGGTCGACGCCGAGTCCACGGCGGACTCCATGCCGGTTCACTATGCGCGCATCACACACCCGACGCGCGTCGCGATCCGCGCAACAATAAATAAAAAGCGGCGGCAAGGCGAAGGCGCGGCGGCGTGCGCGCGCCCGCCCCGCCGCCCGCCGCCCATTGGCTGACGCTTGCACGCCGGCGCCGGGATTGGACGTGCACGACGCCGCGGAGTCCCCGCCCTTTTTTCCGTGGCGCTGCGGGCGCGCGAAGAAACGCTTCTGACTCCTGTTTCTTTTGGGCGGCGAACGGCAAGCGGCACGGCCGCACAAGCGGCGGCGGACAGCAGTTGGCGATCGATATGCCGGAGGAGCCGCGCCTCGCGCTCGCACTCGCACCGCACCGCTGACGCTCCGACTCGATGTATCGATACCGACTCGCTCCGCACTACAGCCCTTAGCTCGAGCCCTCACTACACTATCAATTTCAATAAGACAGCATTAAGTCATGGAAGTCATTGTCCATTGGTCAAAACTTATCTATTAATTCACACTGAGAACTTTAATTATATGTACAAATATATACATTGTTTTATTACGTACGTAGTATATCAACACCAAAGTATATTTTGAACATTTTATATCTGATATGACGAAGAACATACGCTAACTGTTGTATGAGTGACGATATTCGTAAGCAATGTGAAGGCGAGCGGAAGTTCTCGCTACTGAAGTTGCAAGGCGTCGCGAAGCTTCGCTTGGGCAAAAGCTTTTATGTAAGATTCGACGTTATGTATATCTGAGTCTCATCATAAACTATGTATTATTCTTGTTGTATTTGCACTTTATATCATGGATAAAAAACACAAAATAGGCGAAGTTACATGCGTATGGCATTAAGAATATTTGTAGAGGTTAGTTGTGCAAGTCGTAGAAGTGCACAGATCTTGTTTGATCACTAGTAATTACCTGCGTGGAATTATATCTAATACTATAACATTATTTATAATACGTACGTGCAATAAAATATAGGATGTTTTTTCACCAGAGCTTGATTAGATACTGCGCGTTATAAACAAAGCTTGGCGTTGCATTTTTTTTTTATTTGGTCCATTTCCTTAATTATATCATTTACAAAGTGTACTGTAGTAACAATTCCAAGTATTATATTTAAATTATTGAAATCAAATTGTATCTTTTATATAGCATCGTAAAATTTAAAAATATATTGAATTAAGTATAAATAGCATTTTCAATAAAACTTTAATTTTTATGTTTGATTTCATCTTCAAAATTATTTTATCTACCTCATCATCATCAGCTCACTATACGTCCCCACTGAGGGGCCGGAGCTTACCCAAAGTTATGGTTGATTAGGCCATAGTCAACCACGCTGGCCAAGTGCGGGTTGGTTGAATTCACCCATACCTTTGAATTTATTCTCAGATATGTGCAGGTTGCATCACGCTGTTTGCCTCCACCGTAAGAACGTCGGATAAATGTACATATGTAAATCGGAAATCAAAAAACACATTGGTACATGGCGGGATTCGAACCCAGGACGTGCAGATTGCAAGGCAAGTGTTTGACCCCTGAGCCACCGACGCTCTTTCTCTACCTACCTACAATTCAAAAATACTCTTCGAAATTTTCCCATTCATTTACTTACCAAACTAAATGTAACTTAAGTATACAATATCTTCAAAGTACCTAAATATTATATTTATTTGACAAATACTTAACAATAACTCTTTAAAAACCAAAAGGGGTGATAAGTGTTGAAAACAAAAGCGCCCTCTACAACCATTGATGACAAAAAGCACGAAAGCCACTCGATTTTCCTACCATTCGTTAAATAACAAAGTAAAATAATCCTTAAATCTACAGCAATAAAGATTTTTATATTTGAATGTAATTGTCACTTATAATATACAAATTTATGATATTGAAAACAATACTTCAAAACATATACAATATTTGAAGACGGCCATGATTTTTACCAACAACAAAAGAACTTTTCTTTGTATAACCTTAAGAGGTTATAAGACATGTTAAGTTTGAACAGCTGATAATGGCTTGTAACAAAAGAAAGGTAAATTACGAAATCATTAAAAGAAAAAAACACAGTCAGAATACACTTTCATATTATCAATTTTATGTTTAAAAGGATTTTCAAATTAGAAATAAATTACCTTCTCAAGCATCTTCTCTTCATTTCATCTTCTTTCACAAATTTTCAGACTATTAAAAAACAAATCTTTCCTGTTTTTATTAACACTAGCTTTCACCCACGATTCAACAACGATTTAAAAAATCAAACTCATTAGTAGCCTACATGTTCTTACAGACTATGTTCAACGTTTACGTCAAATCAAATTTCAGCGAGATCCGTTGAGCTGTTCTTTAGATACCTTCTTATATAAAAAAACAACCATCCATCTAAACATTTGCATTTTTAATATTAGTAAGATAATTTAAATTGTTTTGGTTATTTTATTGTGTTTTTAATAATCGTGAATAATATTAAAGCAATTTGTTGATATATTTTTTTGTTTACCTTAATAATAAATCATAGTGACGTTCACCTGTAACGGAATATATGAGGAGCTGAAAATAAAGGCTTTTTAATCTATGTTTATTAAAACTTGACTTATAATGTCCTCCAAATGAGTTTATATATCGTAATAATTAATTAGAAGTTTTAAGGATAAGATACCATAAAAAATGATTTTATTTGTTACTATTTAACAAGGACACTTGAAAATAAGATATATAAAATATTTTTATAATAATAAATAAAGTATTTTAAGTTTTTATCCGTGTTTTTCATGTAGTTTAGTAATTATTGTAGTTTTTCAAGTATTATCCAAAATCCCAAAGCTGGTTACACTTTCTACGTAACAGATCTAAAGTCACTCTAAAACATGCTTGTCTAATATTGCCATATTTTAATTTGACAAATATGCACTAATTGCGTTTATTACTCTGCCTCCTGGATTGTCAGGAGTGTGTCATCTTCGTCTACAGAAATAAGTCGCAAGTCAGAGAAATATAAAACATTTTTCAAACTATGTTATCTGTGTATATCTTCATTCCAGGAATTTTGCTTGCGCTTAATCAAATATCAAGATGAATTTCTATCGTCAGATAATCTCTAGTACTCGCTCTCGCTATCAGCAAACAAACAAATTAACAGATTATAAGTCCGTCTTATCATTGTCTCACAGTATTAATGTGTCACTTTAAATGTTTTATATCTTTTTTATTTTAAGTTACAATTCAAAGATATTTAATTTTTGCTTAAGATTACATAGTATAATTTATACACAACGAAAATGCATTAAAAAACTTCCAGAAATAAATTCCTTCAATCTTATTAGCAAAAAATCTTATATTCAATTGCTATTCGAATCATTCAGGCGCTTTTTAAAAAATATTTGTTAAAAATAATAGTTGTTTCATTATTCAAAAAAAATATTATAAATAAATGATGTTTACCGGGCAATAAATCGAGCTCAGCATTGGGAAGCTGCAGCAGGCTGCGGGTCCTCGTTAAACTTTATTTTTGTATTAAAGCCGTAACTTTAGGGCGCGACAGCTACCAACTGTAATCCCCGTCATGAAATTTTACACGGACACCTGTTTAAAATGCAAAAAACAATGGCCTCAATGATCACATCGTTCTGTTTTTGCTCTGACATTTATAACTTATTCACCGGAATATTTATATTTAAAACGTTAGCCTAACGTGGTATTGTAGTTAATAGCGCTTCTGCCGTTATAACAAACGCCGAAGTACACTTGCTAGGTAACCGTGTCCAATAAACGAATTATTGCTTTTCGCTTTAGCTGCTAAAGTGCAGTAAATAATGTAACCGGGACACCGCACGGTTACCCCGTCCCGCACCACTCCTAGCCCGCACTACCGAATCCTGTTCGCATTTCGTGCATTTAACCTCGGTCCCCGACCCCCGACAAGCTATGAAATTAAATTCAGGCATAACACGAGGTGTATTGTTCAATAATTTTCTAATTAATTTGCTTTTAGATATATTTCTATACTATATTAAATAAATAACACATGTAGGTTATTACACCTCAGCATGATCACATGGACTGTGGATAAGCACACGTAATCCTCATCTTAATCCTCCAACCAACCTACTCATAGAAAACCGTCTTCAACTCTATAGCGGCAATTTATGTCGCTATCTTAATAGTAGCACTGATTTAATCCTAAACGATTACACGAAGAAATGAAAAAAGGACAGTTCGTTTTTCATATAGCAAACAGTGTCGCGAGATGTGTGGTGTTAGCTCTCAAACCTCACGCGAGGCTCGTCTATTTAAGTTGTGTTTACGCGGTGGGTGCGATTCAAGACGGCCGTTGCTTTTGATGTAAAAATCATACGACCCTACAAACGTGTCCCACCATATTGACATTCACGTGACAGCTATCAAAGACTGTGAATTAATGTTTTTTATTACTAGAACTGGCACTTTTTTTTAATTAACCAGAAGCCACTAAATAGCTAACCAGGTGGATTACAATAGCCTGCTTTTGTTTATTTGTTTAATTAAGCGATGCAGATTAAATTTGTCATATTCATTGTTTTATTTAATTTGAACACATCATCGTATTCTTTGATATTACAGATTTTTGTTCAAAGAACATTGTGATAAAACGGACATACTTTAATATAGGCGATAAATACGTATAAAATTCTTAAGAGATTGGCGCGCACCCAGCGTGGGCATGTGGGCCTGTGGGGGAGGGGATGGGAGGTCGCAGCGGTGCAACGGGTCAGCCGAGGCGTTGGCACGTGAGCCCTGCAGCTCAAGATCCCAGAATAGGGCCGCCCTAGTAGACGTCGGCGTCGACACCTTTGTTATTTTTTCCAGTTTTCATCACTTCACGCTCAGCCTGCCTTTTGATTCAGTGGCTGTGTAATCTGCTGTTGGCGCATTTATTTTGCACTCCTCCCTAGGTGTTGCCAGTTTATTTTGTATTCTCTCAGTGTTGGCATTTATTCCGCAACCGCTTTGAAGTTAAAGCAAAGCTCTTTACAGCCGCGTCTCCGTTTGCACTGACCG